TGCACTTCATCCATTTATTTAAATGATTGTATTATTGCCTTTGTAGTCAGAGATGACCTCGTGAACATTTTCCTATAGATTTACATTCCAATCTCAAATCCATAGGCTCTAGAATATTCAGATGCAGGGTAACGAAGTAGACAGTGACATGTGAAGTAAATGTAGGCCAAATTATGTAGTAGTGTTATTGTGAAATTTGATGCCTAGAACTCAGAACTAGTTATGCTGGGTTTTTTTAAAATCAATTTTAACATTCAAAGTTTTTTGTTTGTGATAATTGTCACTGACAAAGGGAGCATGTTTGGGCCATTTTAAGTAGACCCGACATAATTAGGAGTTATACTATAAGGTGTTTTATTCAATACAAGAAAATGCCAAACATTTGTCTTTCCTTGTGAATTAGGAAGGAATCCCTCGGGAAGGAATCCCAGTTATTGCATTACTTGTATATCCCTGTCTTTACATTGTTAGAGCCCCAGTCTGTCTTGACTCAGACTTCAAATCATCTCACTAGAATCAGATCTTTTTCTGGCATCTCTCAGCTCTGCTATCTTTAGTTTTTCTCTGTCACAAACTTCATATATAGTAGCTTGGGACAGCTCACAGTGGCAGATTTATATCGTCACAGTTCTGAGCTCCATCTAAAAAGCAAAAAGAGAAGTTTTACTGATCAGTGGAATCTAAATGGTACAATTGGACCATGGTGTGTTATTCACACCACTGGTCATCAAGCTGAGCCAGAACCCATGGCCAGCTGGGTTGAATGAGGTTGTGTTTTCCCTGCAGCCACTCTGAGGTCCTATGAGTAGTATCCACACATGCTACTAGGTCAACCTCTAATTTAGGGGATAGAATTTTCTCCACACTTCTACATAAACCTGGGGTAAAGAAATAAGGGGTCTTTAATGGAAACTGGCTATGACTAGTGGAACTAATGGAAATAAATTCTATATCAAAAGTTAAATATTAGAGAGATACTCATTCGAGAGAGAAGCACAAATTTTATTAAGATATTGTGATAAGTAGAGGAATAGATGAGGATGATTTTTATTCATATTTTATTAACACCGGTTACAGTGACTGTCACCACGTCTTCATACAAGAACATAAAGCATGTTGGCCAACTCCATCCTCTCTGATACCAGTCCACCCCACAGCACCCCGAGCCAGACATGAACCGTCACTCATTTTTAATGTCTATTAAATAGAAAGTATTTTATTTAAGGTTAACAAAATGATCACGGGTTACTCAATGAACACCACTGCTGCAATTACCTCATAGTACAGAAAACATTAAATTTCAACATTAAACAATACTATAAAAATAAATATGTGTAATGGAAGAAATCATAAAGAATATATTTTGAAGTTGAAACAAAAAAGCAATAGCACTTATTGATAAGTAAACTGTAAGAAGTAATAAATATTATGTGATAAGTAAAATGACAAATGCCTCTAAAATATAACTTTATTAAAGGAGACATAACAATAAATTGAAAGAATGATAGTTGGTGGAAAAATATAATTACATGGAGCTCTGTGAGAAGTCACGGGACGTGTAGTTGTTGTACAGTTACCGTTGTGGTCCCGGTGTGGCACCAGATAGAGCTAGAGAAATCTCAGAGACCACAGGAAAGTTCCAAATCTTCTCTGCCAGTGTGGTCCTCTTCATAATTAGTAGAGAGTACCCAACACCTTAGGAGGATGACAGATAAACAGAAGGACAGAGAAACAAAGACAGAGAGACAGAGACAGAGAGAGATCTTGTGTTTGGGGACCACAAGGCTACAGTGCATGGTGTCATTGCTCTGCTGTCTTTGTACTGAGATGAAGACCCCATCAGGTGCTTTGCTGAGATGGTCAGCATTGATTGCCACTTGCCTGCCATCAAGCCTTTGTAGCTTCCTGCACCCTTCCCTTGTGTAGGTGGGCATAGGTTCCCTTCTTCTAGGAAAGGAAAGCAGAGGCCTACAGAGGCTAATGAATGTGGATGAGAGACCAGAGTGTGGGCGGGAGTTGAGGGCACTCTAAACTTGGTTGGCAGGGGGCCTCACGGCCAGAGAAAACTGCAGAGAAAGAAGAGGCCACAGGGAAGGCAAGTTTTGCTGAGTGCTTGGGGCTCAGTGGGTTGGAGGCCCCTGGAATGCATGCTGTGCAGAGGGCCTGAGTCCAGGCCTGCCCCATGGTGCTCCTTGGAAACCTCCTTGTTCTCAGTAGGAAGTGCTCTGGGGAGGTGCTGTGCATTCTGGAAAGCAGGCTGTGCCTGGAGGTCCTGATCATCAAGGCAGCAGGAAGGGCAGGAGGGGAATCCTTGTGCCCCCTCTAGGCCTAGCTGGCGTGAGCTCGAGTCCCAAGTTCTTTCCTGAGCAAGACAAGATAGGTTTCAATAGACTCAGTTTCCAGGCAGGGGCCCCAGGCCCTTGGAACTCCTGGTGCTGGACTGTGGGTGGCAGCGTCCTGACTCCCATCTGGTGTTTAGGAGCTTCTCAAATGGTTGGTGTGTGTCCCAGTCAGTACTGCTGACTAGCTCTCTGTCCCTCTTCCACCAGAGCTGAGGATCCCTGATGACACGAATGCGTTTTATGCCGTGAACTCTTTGGGCAACTCCAATTTCGTGCTCCAGAAGAGGACATTCCCCCCAGAGCACCACGCTCAAGTATGGAGCCGGCTTCATCCTTCTTCCCAGGAGGAGAAAGGGACAAACTTTTAAGAATACCGTGTGTAGATGTCATCCATTGGGTCTGGCTGGCCAGGGGCTAAGCACATCCAGACTACAGTGGCCCAGGCCACATCCTCCATTGACCTCCAATCCTGAAAACATTCAGAATCTTTCCTCCACAATCCCCTCCTGATGTCTGGAGGACAGTGGTTCTGTGGTCCAGGCGATAGCCACCCTTCTTGGATGCTAAATCCAAGACACACTCCAGATCGTTTATCTACAATCTCTTAAGGTCAAGATGACAGTGGTAACGTGGCCCAAGGCTACACGTCACCTTCCCTTGACCTCAGATCCAGGATGTATTCACAATCCTTCCAATAAAATCCTCACCCAATGTCACAATGACAGTTACAATGTGGCCAGGCCACACACACCCCTTCCTTTCACCTCAAATCCAGGACACACAACGGATCACTTGTCCACAGTGTTCTACTAGTTTCAGAATGATGCCTGGCACTGGACACACTGACTGTCTCTCCAGGGGCTTCCTCGGCGCTTCAAGTGCTATAGAGGATCAGCTGACATTCACTCGAATAGAGCACGGGCATGGTGCTCTCACTTGCCCCTAGCTCTGCTCTCTACACTATGCTCCCACTTTTAAGACTGTGATGTAGGTAACTGCACTCTGTTCCTGTGAGTTCCACAGGCCACGCCCTCACCAAGCTACTCTGAACTCTCCAAGTTCTCTTCCTGAGGAAAGCATTTGAGCTCTGACCTTCCCTTCCCTATTCTTCAGCTATTCTAGACCTTTTCAGGGTACACCAGAGTTTCCTATGAGGACCGAGAGTGAGACAGTAAGTGTGGCCCACCACGCATCCCAGGGCTTCCAGAGTCCTGGAGGAAAGGCCTCTGCTAGCCCTCACTCCTCACCCCTCCACCGAGCGCAGACGGTGCCCGGGGCTCAATGCCGAGACAGATGACAGGCCATTCTCCTCAGAGACAGCATCCTGGGTATTGGAGAGCAAAGGCGATTTCAATTATTTCAGGTGTGGGTTGTTGCCCTGTTGACACTGTATTTGAATGCATACTGGAAAGGAAAATATTTACCGACTGTGATGAAGACGATTTTGAGACACACACGTCCATCCTTGAATACTGGGATGATATAAGGAGGGGGTATGGGATGAATTGAGGAATTGTTTATTGCTCAATACTAGTAAGAGAGAGGAAGCCTGACACAGGAGGCTCATGCCTGTAATTCTTGCTACTCAGGATGCTGCGATCTGAGGACTGCAGTTCAAAGCCAGCCTAGGTAGAAAACTCCCTAAGAGACTTATCTCCAATTGACTAAATGAAAACCAGAAGTGCCGCTGGGGCTCATGGAGTTCTTGGCTTAGTGCTCAGATATAACATGGCAGCCTTTCTTGCCTTGTAGTAGACAAGGAAAAGATGAGCCGCACAGTAGAAGGTGCAGGGAAAAAGAAAACAAGAAACTTAATGTCCTTTAGCACATAAAATTATCTCAAGTCTCAGTCACTTGGGACCAGGTGAGAAAATGCAAATACAATTGATCAGAAAGGCCACATTCTATAACATTGCTGTGTTCTGACATCAGTGCTTACCTTTACCTGACATTGCATCTGAATGAGATGTAGGCAGCACATTCATGTACTTTCTAATTGTATTCATTTTTGCTCTGTAATTCAAAAAATTATTGAATATTCTTATGTGACTGCACGACCTCACATATGGCAATGAATATAGATTTAAATAGAGTCTTACCCAGAAAAGAATAGCAGAAGTTGGAGAAGGAAAGGGGAGAGAGAACAAATGAGAGACAGAAAAAAAGAAAGAGAAAGAGGATTTTATCCAACTCACACACAATAGCTTGTGCACATATAAGAACTTTACTAGCCCGTGGTGCTTTTTATGAGCTATGGAAAGAAGCAGGAAGACAGGAAAGAACCATACATCTTCACTTCCTGAAGAAGAAAGAAGTACATCCTTATAGGCATTAATGGCTCACATCTGTAATCTTAACCACTCAGGAGGCTGAGATCTGAGGACTGCTGTTTGAAGCCAGCCTGGGCAAGAAAGTCAGTGAGACTCTTATCTCCAATAAACTACTAAGAAAAAGCCGGAAGTGGCACTGTGGCTCACATGGTAGAGTGCTAGCCTTGAGAAAGACAATCTCTGGGACAATGTCTAGGCCCTGAGTTCAAGCCTCAGGACTAGCACCAAAAACAAAAAACAAGAAACAAAACTCCTCAAAGGCAGGGCAGACACATGGCAAGAACATTAAACGAGAAAGCAGAAATATGAATTCTGTACAAAGACATCATTAATTCACTTCAGTAATATCTTTTGGCCTTTCTGACTCTGACAACTTAATGCCCTTACATAAAATATTTTAGGATGAAGAAAATACATTCCAGGTGCTGTTGACCACCTGGCAAACACATCCATGAATATGAACTGGGTTCTGTTACTCTCTCAAATATAATTCTTGAACTAATTCAGGATAAATCTGTTGTTGATTTGCTGGTGGCATGCAAATTTCCTTCAAATGGTGCAGGAGATGTTGCTTTCACTGTGTGAAGATCTGATGGCAGGACTAACACAACCTGTGAAATCAATCAGAATATTACTGATTCACCAAAGGTCCTCAGAAATCCCTTTCCCTTCAGACATAATGTCACAACCTCCACAGCCTTCTCTCTTGTCTTTGAATCTCTTAGTCATCTTGGGAGGCATTTGGGCATTTGTTAGATCAGGCTAGATCTAGAACGCATATTCAGTGAGGGATCTTTGGCCTACAATGCTCATGGCCGTTGCTGAGACTTGGAGTGAACCAATCTAATGCGTGGATGTGAGCCCAGTGAGGTCAGGAAATCAAGGTGTTACACAGAAGGCAGAGCCGTGCTTGCAAACCTATTTGCACTGTTGATGACAGAAAGAGATCCACAGCATGATTTTCTGATTACTGCAAAACCATGCTGTCCTATAATGGCAGAAATTTTCACCAAACTAAAATACCACTGTGGTCCTTCTTCCACAACCTCGTGTGACATACAGCTGTTTGGGGGCAGTGATGGACAAGGAAAGATAGAAGATACAGGAACATAGACATAGACCACTGCCCTTCTCCTTTCACACAGGAGATTCAGTGGGAGTAACGTTTACCTGCTCTATACATAAGCTAGAGTAGATGGAGCTCAGTCTTAAATATTTAAATCTGGATCCAGGCACCAGTGGCTTATGCCTGTAATCCTAGCTACTCAGGAAGCCAAGATCTGAGGATCTGGGTTCGAAGCCAACCTGGGCAGAAAAGTCCATGAGACACTTATCTCTAATCACAGAAAAGCTGGAAGTGGAGCTGTGATTCAGGTGGCTAGCACTCGAGTGCTAGCCTTGAGCAAAAGAAGCTCAGGGACAGCTCCAAGGCCTGAGTTCAAGTCCCAGACCTGGCACTATCTATCTATCTATCTATCTATCTATCTATCTATCTATCTATCTATCTATCTGTCTGTCTATCTCTATAATATAGATATATAATCTATAATATTTATAATAGCTATAGATAAATATAGATATGGATATAGATATCTTTGAAGTTCACTAAAGAATTATCTCATCTCCAAAATGCTTAATGCACTAGTATTCCCAGCTTTCTACACTTTCTGAGAAATTCGTACTTCTAGAGTGAAGTATGAGGGTAATGTGAAATCCCTGGAGTATGATAGGTCTGTCTCCCTTCTGTGGCCTATGAGGGGGTATAGTATTTTCTGAGAAATGAAAATATGTAAAAGATGAAAGGTTGTAAATATCAATATAAATAAGCACTCAACATTCTCAACAACCATGATCATTTTATTGTTTGTCTGGGAGTTGTGTCTGGGCAGCTGGTAGAGTTTCACTAGCCACTTCCCTTCCCTAGAACCCTTAATGCTTGCTGGATTCCCTGACCCTGCTATTCCTCGGTCCTCTTTCTGGAACTCTTTTTCTCTTTTTACATTCCACTTCCCCTTTCTATGTAGGAAATCTTTCTGCGTAGCAGCCCAGAGCATCTGCTGTGGGTTTTGGGGTAAGACAACAGCCAGATGTGCACAAGCTAGGAGAGAAGTTTTATCTCAACATTTCCTCAATAGTTATAGTAGCTAAAAGATATAATAGCTAAAAGATAAAAGATAAGGTAGTAGATAAAATTCTGGCACTCTAAGGGGGCTTCTCTACTGAGAAATGTTCTTGGACCTAAACCCAGGAGATGTCCTTTGATGTGGGAGTAATGGAAAAGTAACTTCTTTGCTCATTGAAATATGCAAATATGCATAATTCTAAGGTAAAACTCATGGAGAGAATGGCTATCACTCCTGTGAGTGGTCACTGATCAGTTGACTCTGAGTGTCTTGATATTCAAGCAGGACGCTGGTGGCCCACACCTGTAATCCTAGCTACTCCGGAGACTGAGACCTGAGAATTATGGTTTAATGCAAGCCCAAGGCAGGAAAGTCTGTGAGACTCTAATCTCCAATTAACCACCAGAAAACCGGAAGTGGGGCTGTGGCTCAAAGTGGTAGAGCACTAGCCTTGAGCGAAGAAGCTCAGGGACTGTACCCAAGTGCTGAGTTCAAGCCCCACAACTGACAAAAAAAAAAATCATATGAACTTCTAGCATGTGAGCCAAAAGCCTGAAAGCACTTGAAATCTTTGTCCTCAAGTGTCAGAGGAACTGGCTCCTGGGATGCCAGCTGAGGATTTGTGTGCTGTGAGGTTGTGTATGCTAACATGCATAGCCTCGGGGAAGAGAAAACTCCTTCAAAGTCTGGCAACAATCAGGATGCCCAGCCATAAAACTAGGGGAAGGCATGCAGAACATGCCCTTCCTGCTCCTCTGAATAATCCCATAAACAATCCCTCGAAATTCCCTTTGTGTGCATAAGATAGCTCACCAGCAATTTGCTTGTTCTTTTTAACCTTTGATCATGTAAAACTGCTTCACATTTGTTGACGAAGGTTAACTTTTCCTGCTTACTGACTCTAGATTAACTCCCATCGTCTGCATATATGTAAGACGGTTACTTTCCTTGCCTGTATGCCATACCTAAGTATGTGATGCTTTTAGTAAGCTTTGTCTATACCCACATGGTGCAAGCCACTCTCTGCCTACCAGACACTGAGCTCCCAGTCTCGCTGTGAACAGCAACACTCAAGATTTCCTCAGGGAAGAACTACAATGACCTGAATTCTACATCTGACGGGAAATGAATTCTGCAACATAAGCATGGGGAAGAAGCAGAAGCTGCAGATGAGATCTCAGCCCAGCCAACTCAATGACTACAGCCTGGTGACAACCTGAGCAGAGCAGAACCGAGCAGAGGGCCCAGCTAAGCTGAGCCCACACACCTGAGCTCTGGAAGCTGAGAGATAACAAACGTGTTGTTTTCAGCCTATATGTACAGTTGTACAGTTGATTACACAGCAAACAACAAGTGCCCTATTCACATGAAGGCCAATACTCACCCCACCAGGGTTACAACAGGTTGCTTTGCATCCAAATGCTGAGAGGGACACAGCAACGCAGAATTCCAGCACGCTTAGCATGAGCACCATGCCATCCAAACCCTACAATGAAGCCATAACAAAGGAATGTGAGGAACTGTGGAGACTGTAAGTTTGAGTAGTATACTATTAATCACCATGGCTGCTGGAGAATGCCTTGGCCAAGTCATAGACTTCCCAATGTCATTGTTTTCACTGATTAGGATGAAAATTGATTTCCTTCCACCCAATCATTTTTCATTACAGAACTGAGATATGAAAGTACCTTAAAACATTGAAGGAGTAGAAGGCAAGAAGAATTTTAAGATAACTGTCATTTTAGGCTTTCTGAGAACTAGCAATTCCATATAACTGATCCAATAATACGATATATATGTAGGTTATTGTAGGCAACGACTTCCAAGAAGATCTTAGAACCTGTGGACGCATCCAGCTACATAGTCAAATGGAATCCAGTTTTCAGATGGAGTTAAGGATAGTTGTTAAGAGGGGGTTTTATTCTGGATGGTTTAGGTGGATCTAGAGTAGTTACAACATTCTAGAAAGCAGAAGCAGGAAGAAGTACCAAAGCCCAAGAGATGCGGATATGTTGTGATGCTTCATTTGAAGATCAATCAGGAAAGTCAGGAAACAGAGACATCTACTGGAAGCTGGGGGAAAAAATCAAAACTGATCTTTCCACTAGCTCTCAGAAAGAGATACAGCCCTAAGACTTTGATTTTATCCAAATGAGACCACTTTCAAACTTATGATCTCTCTAAGAAAATAAGTCTGAATTATCTTAAGACACTAATTGAAAAAGACAAGGAAATTACAAAAAAAAGCAAATGAAAAATGGAAGGAAGCCAACAGAAAATAGAGTGGCCAAGCAACATTTTAATGGTAAAATTCAATGACATATTTAAGTTTTCTATGATGTAACACAGTAACACTTCTTCTTGTACTTACAAAATGCTGTGTATGTGATCATTTGGAGGATGAAGTAATAGCGATAGTATCTCAATGAAGGCAAACTTCAGAGCAAATGTACCAAAGATTGAGAGTTGTGGGTCATGATAGTTGAGGTGACAAGGGACTAACCTTACAAGGATTTTCAGAGATATCAAGGATACTGGCTTTCTCTCAATTTATGGGATGATGTTTAAGACCATTTTAATTTATTACTAAAATCATGTAACTCCATCAGGATCCATCAGGAAGCTCGAGGCAGGGGGCATGCAGGACATCTGGGCTCTATTTTTGGAAGACATAACTTACTCACTGATCAGCATTTGTAAATTAAATAGGAAAAAATCATATCAAATGCTCCATGGAGAAATTCTTAAGAAGGAGTAAGTATTCTATAACATGAACCTCCTTCAGCATAGAGAGAGGAGGAACAGTATGAGGCCTTCACTTCATGCCTAAATCAAATAGAGGTCTGTTTCTCAACCATTTCCAACCTTCCAGAAACACAGTGTTCTTGGGGCTACCGGCAGTGCAGCAGAGATCGCCCACCACTGTAGCATCCCGTGAGAAGAGGATATACTCACCAGTAGAAGGATGAAGGACTCACTACTTGGTATGTGACCGTAGCTATAATCCTGTAAAAAGATCCTCACGCTGAACGCACTGATTATAATCCCCGCCGCAGCAAACACAGAGGCAACGGTGTTCAAGACTACACTGCACTGCACCTAAAAGGAGTAAGAATCACTAACAGGTCACACGATCAGGCATGCATCTGCCCATCACTTTACAGCCTCTATTTCTTTCCCAATGTGCGTCATCTTCTTTATCTTGATTGTTACAACACTGTCAACTTACCTTTTTCCTTCTTGTGGTTTAAACTCTAATCTCTTAACAAAACAAAAATGTGGCATTGACCCTCCTGGGTTAAATACATCAAATGATTCCCTGAAGTGTGAGAGCTAAATGCTACGTTTCCCAGCAGGAATTCCAAACTCCTTTCCATAAGAGCTGGTGGCCTGGTCTGTCTGCCTGCTGCTATGCTCTGCTCTGGGTGCCTGGCCTCCCATGATTCGCGCAGTGCTCTTTGTAATATAGCTCCACTGGGTATCACTTCTTGCATTGCTCTTCTCATGTAAGAGTATGAGTTTTAAATGTTATATTAATGTGTGCTGGCATGTGCCTGTAATCTCATCATTTAGGAAGCTGAAGGGAAGATCAAAAGCTTGAGGCCAGTTTGTGCTACAGAACAAGATTTTGCCCTAAAAAACAACAAAGCCCTCCTCTCCCCAACCAAACAAAATTTACCATGAAAATCTGGGAGGTTCAATATGAATTTTTAATAGTAACAGGTGGAAGATATGCCAGGGAAACAGGTGGAGGCCAGTTTTAAAAGGCCCAAGTCTATCTTTGGAGAGAGAAATATCAACTACTGTCTTTTGCCAGAAAAATGCTTCTGATCTACTCTTGATCTTCCATTTTATTGTCTTTGTGACTGATATACAAGCAGGAGGTTGATTACGGAATTGGATTCTTCCACAGTAATAGCTGAGTATGAGTGTATTTCCTGCAAACTCAAAATCCTTTCTGGATATAAATTAAATACACATTTGAATCTGGTGGTCTAGGTGTCATTGTCATGGACTTCTACTTCCCAAGCTTTGTTTAAATGTTTCCACCTCAATGTTTCTTCTCCAGAATTCTCTGCATCTATACATAGGCTCTCTGAGCAACAACTTTCATGCAAAATTCAGTCCTATATGAGAAATGCTATCACTAGATAACTGTTTGGCTAAAAATTTTAAAAACAGATAATTCTAGATTAAACTCCAAGGACCCATTGCAACAATGAGATGTACAAAACACTATGTTGAAAAATGACTTTAGGGGTGGGAGTGTAGTAGGGGAAAAACAAAGGAGGAGGAGCCAACAAAAAGCTTATTTTAAAAAAAATTTAAAAAACTCCAAGTCTCTCTTGCTTTTTCAAAAACAAAGGCTCAATAGCAATGTGGACATGACCATATAAAATGATGCTTACTGAAATGAACTCAAAGAAATGGAAGCAAGAAGTGTTTTTTTTCTTTTATTGTACTGTTTGCGATTATTTCTTTTTTTCTTTCTTTTTTTCTCCCTTTAGTTTATACCCTGTTGTCACTGTCTTTGATTTCTATACCCTTTGTCTTGTATATAAGTTTAGCTGATTTGGGGAAGGGGAGGGAAATCACAGAAATGGTGGGACAAAGAGTGAACCAATATAACAGCGATACTCACTAGACAATACATTAGAAATGAACTTTACAACTTACAGGGGAAGGGAGTTGGAGGGAGGGAAAGTAGGAGAAAATGAGGGAAGGGGTAACACTGTTCAAAAAACAATATACTCATTACCTTACTTATATAACTATATATCATCTTTACAATAATTTTTTTAAAAAAACAAAGAAGCGCATTCTGTTTACTCTTACTCTTTTGATACCAAATTAAAAAAATACAACTCACCAGAGATCTTATAGTTCTTATTCTTGCTGCAACTGTCAAGGATCCTGAAATAATAAACTAGTAATAGAAGGAAAAATTCAAGGTTGTTATTAATGCCCTAATCCATATGAGAAAAGTAAATAAAGATTAAATAGACTTCTTTCAAAGTATTAGATTTACAAAAATAGACTTGAGTAGGATTCCATCCAAAACCCAGAATAGACTAAAAGTGTTATTGTATCTCTAATTATACAGGAAGGTTTGCTACTCACCATCACTGACCCCCAAATTGTGAACCCCAAATACACTGAGATGGGAGCTAATCTGTAGAATGGTAATGTGGTACTCATCATTATTATTCCCATGCTGAGGTTCATAAGGGCAGTCATTATCTGGACAACCTAGAAATGATAAGAAAGCAAAAACAGGTTAATGACCACAGTAATAATGTCTAAACTATTTCCTGTCTAACCACAAAGTTAATCTCATTCTAGATCTTTTGAGGTACTCAGTTCAACTTTCAGGAAGTTTTTGCTCTGCTCACAAAAAGAAGAGTAGATATACTAACTTACCAAAATTATCCCTCAGAATATTTGTGTAAACACAGTCAATTCAAGGCAAGAAGGTGAATACCAAAACCTGTCCAGAGATGCTTTTCTGATACCCAGGATAGTTATAAATAGCAGACAAAATTACCTACTAATTAGGAAGCAATTCTTTTACTAAAAGAAAAGTAGATATAAGGTGAAGGGAAAAAATGGACAAGTATGACACTGATTTGAGCCTGAGGAAGGAGTTTTTGAATGCAGTGCCCTAAAAGTAGGAGAATTGGAGTGCAATTATACCCATGACATAAAATGGTTCAAAGGAAAGCAACTTACTCAGATTTGTGAGGTGCAGTGAAAGCAGTGTTCAAAAGGTAAATTCATAGTACCGAGTAAATATATTAGAGAAGAGGAAATATAAAATCTAGTACTTCAACTTTCATCTGATAAGGTAGGAAAAGATACATTAAAGTTAAAAGAAAAAGATAAAATTAGAGCAGAAATCAGTAAAGGTAAAAACAGGGAAAAATAAACATAAGCAACAAAATCTAAAGATGAATTTTAGTATAAATTAAAGTTTTAAATGCAAGGCTAGCTGTTTAAGAACAGAAAAGGGAAAATACCAATGAGTAATATCAAAAGTTAAATAGAGGCTATCACTACAGAATCCAGGCACATCAAAAGTCAAATGAAGGGCTATGAGAAAACCTGTGCCTACAAGTTTGAAAACCTAGATGAGATGGGTAAGTCCCTAAAGAAAAGAAAATCCATGAAAGCCAACCTTTTTCTTTACTAAATTATTTTATGGCATTTACATTGTACAAAAGTATTTCGACTTAGCAGATCAATTTCTAAGTGTCGTGTGCCTTGCGCAGTGCCACTTCTCCACCGCTCTCCTCTCTAATCTGTCTCAACCCTGCGCTCATCTCCTCAAGTTCTAGTTAATCAAACATTTTATTTCATGATAAAAGTCTATCTTAATAGGCTTGTGACATTAAGTAAAACAAATCAATAGCTAATAATAGTCTAAAACAAAAATGGCTAGTCCCAGAAATTTTCAGAAGTCAATAATGCCTGCAGAAAACACTGTGAAAATTACCTATAGCTTTTCCATATTGTACCATTCATAAGGAAATTGAAAGCCTTGAGGCGGGGCAGAGGGGGGGGTCAGAAATCACATTAAGAGAAGTATGTCAGATCCAGAGAAACACAGGCTGTGTGACTTCCCTCATTTATGGTAACTAGAATGTGCCTATAAATCTATAAGTAGACATACTGGATGTTTTAAAAAATACACTGGGAGATGATAAATTATACACGTCTGTAGTCATTCACACACACACAGCAAGACCAAAGGAGGCTATTCTTAGGAAAAGATCTTATAGGCACAATAGCTGTTTGTATCTGATCATACAAAATAATGTTTATCAAAATGAACCCTAAGAAATGAAAATAAGAGGTTATTTTCTTTGTTGCTGCTTTGTTTTCTTTTCCTTTTGTCTTGTTTGTCCATTTATGTGTCGTTGAGAGGGTAAGGGAGGCATAAATGGAGGGAGGACACAGGGTTAACAAATATAGCCATGGTACTGACTAGACACTAGGTTGAAAATGAACTACACAACTTGTGGGTGGGGAGGGGAGGGAAAAACTTGGAGAGAGTAAAGGAAGAGGTGACACTGTTCAAAAAGAAATGTGCTCTTTGCCAGACGCCTATACCTGTCACCCCTCTGTATATCACTGTTCTAATAACAATATTTTTAATGCATGAAGAAAAAACACATAATGGTAGTGCTTTATAACTGATTCTTTGAAGCTAGAAAAGTCAAATGGACATTATAAGAAACAGAAAACTACTGACAAACATCTATCATGAACCCAGATACTAAAATTTTCAACTAAATATTAGTAAATTCAATCCAAAATCTTTATATGAAAAGAACAATGATATTACAAACAAGTGTTTATCCCAGACAGACAGATGACAGATAGATAGATAGATAGACAGATAGATAGATACTTTAAATAATCTACCACATCAACAGATAAGAAAGAAATCATGTGATCATATCAATAGATGCAGGAAAAACAGGACATATTCAAATGTCCAGTCATAAAAAGTCCCCAGTAAAGTAAAAATAATAAGTTTATTGATGCAATTAAAATGCACAAAAATCCCCATATGTCTACCTTCAAAGCAAGTAGTGAGACATTCAAAGTTTTCCCACCATAATAATTTTTTTAAAAGACAGGTCAGTAATCCTTTGCTACTCCTTCAATATTGTACTGGAAGTTCTAGTGAAGCTGATAAGAAAGCCCTTAAGTGTGTATTTCCTGATGCAGAAACACAAGAAATATGAACCACAAAGGCAACATGATTGTTATCTAGATAACAATTCCACAATAACAGATCCTAATGGCATTAAAATATATGAAATTCTGAATAAAATTTCAAAATAATGGTTATAAAAATTATCAACAAAATCCAAGGAAATGAAAATAAGTATCTGAATGAATTCAAAGACAGCAAAGAAACAAGGAAGAGAAAATGCGATAAAAGAAAATGCTGGAAAAAATCAAATTTAAATTTTGGAAATGAAAAAGTCAATAAGTCAAATAAAGAAAACTGAATCAAGTTGAAAACAGTATAATAGTTTACTACAAAGTAGACACACTAGAACATTCAGCTGATAATAAAGAGAAAATATGAACAGAAAATTCAAGACCCCTGAAACACTGTTAAAATACCAACCATACAAATCATGGGCATAGGAGAAGAAGATAATGATTAAGCTAACGGCACAGAAAACAAGTTCAATAGAATCACAGTAGGAAATTCTCCATGGGCATCCAGGTAAAGGAGGATTATAATTTCAGGCCTGAGCAGCATAAAACATCTCATGTGCTCTGTTACAGGTGAAACATGAAGTATATGGAATGAAGAAATACTGTCAGTTCTTCCCAAATCCATCTATACACTCAATAGCTTCAATCAAAATCCCAAGAAATTGTTTTGTGGATGTCAGAAAGTTGGTTTTTAGAGTTTATAAGAAAATGTAAAAAACATCCAGACTTTGAAATACAAGGTTGATACTACCTAACTTCAAGATATATTACACAAGTTACATAATCTATACACTGAGTCCACAAATCAATGTATTTGTGAGCCTTTACATGTAGGGCTAAAGACCATAGAAACAGGCACACATAAATGTGGTTTTTAGACCTTTGACAAAGTAGTAAAAGTGATACAGTGAAGAAAGGCTAATATTGGATAAAACAGGACATACAAAAGTAAAAAGATAAATTTATATGCATGCCTTTTGGCTTTCACAATATTCAATATAAAATGATTCATGCGTCTAAATATAAAACTCAAACCGATAAAATTCCTAAAAATACGATTTTTTAAAATACACTATCAAAGGTATGAGCCATGAAAGAGGAAATTAACTAGTTGAATTTATTAAAATTAAAACTTTCTGGCAAAAAATACTGTCAAGACGTGAGAAAACAGGACACTAATTGGGAGAAGAGACTTACAATCGATTTACAATGTGTTGTAAAAACTATACAATGAGCCCTTAAAATTAACACTAAGCACATAAACCCCTGGTTAAAAAGAGACACTCACCCCAGAACATACAAAGAGGCATACGGCAATTGCTCCACATCACATATCGTAAGGGAAGTGCACAATGAAACAACATTGGGATACCCCTGAATGCCTACTAGAATGGCCAAAGTGCAGAACACTGACAAATGCTGGTAAGTATGTGGAGCAACAGGAACTTTGCTGTTTAGAAATGTTCACAATGACACAGACACTTGGAAGCATTTTACAACATGCCTGTTGTTTCAATCTGGTTTGCCTCCCCCCACCCCCAAAGGTTTGTGTGCTGAAAGTATGATCCCTGTCTGTTAGTATGGAGATGGTAGAATCCCTAAGAGTTTGGGCCTACTGAATGATAGCTAAGTCATCTGGGAATCATCCTTGCAAGGGAGCTGCTCAGTCCTCCTAAGGTCAAGTTGTTATCAATTCAGGCTACACTGTGTGGCTGGCCTTCTCTGCACACGGCCCCATTCCTGTCCACTTCCCCACAGATTGTGACATCCTTCATCAGGATGCCACAACTTTACTGTTTGGTTGTTCTAGCCACCAAAAGTACAAATCCTATACACCTGTTTCCTTTAGAAATCCCCAACATTCAAGACAATTTTTCCAGCAATACAAATACAGCCTCAGGTGCGACAGTGGGTCATTAGAAGTTCATCCATTGTTGCAAAGGCAGCACTGATGGGAAAAGAGAGGGAAAAGTGGCTCACGTGTGGATTCAGAGGATCTATGTGTTATGTCTGTATGGTCCACTCTGTTTTCCTGGGAACTTAAAACTACTCTAAAAGCAAATTTAATTTTAAATACTTATTCATATATTGAAATATATACTTATTAAATATTAAAATACTTATATTTATATATTGTATATATACATATCTAGCACATGTCAACATATATGACCTACTTCATGGAAAGTAATTTTTTTTCCAAAAATTATTATAGGGCTGGGAAGGTGGCTCAGTGGTAGAGTGCTTGCCTTGCATACATGAGGCCCTGGGTTCAATTCTTCAGCACCACATAAGCAGAAAAAGCTGGAAGTGGCTCTGTGGCTCAAGTGGTAGAGTGTTAGCCTTGAGCTGAAGAGCTGAGGGACAGTGCCCAGGCCCAGAGTTCAGGCCCCATGACTGACAAAAAAAATTATGTATATTATATATTGTATCTTATTTTATATATAATACATTGTATTTTGTTTTACATATTATATTTCATTTTCTAAAAATTATATTAGATATGTAATTTATTTTGTTTTATATACTATATATTATATTTTATATATTGCTTTATTATTATATATAACATTTTCCAAAACTTATAATATGTGTCATATATAAACACACATACATGCATATATAAGCACACACATACAAACATATATGTAAACACATACACACACACTCAGTAGAGTAGTGGAAAAAAGTAACCACAACAATGTTTTTTCCCGGTGGTTTGGAGTTTGTGCAAACAATAAACCTGTATATTCAACGTCTCTTTGCCTTTAGCTGCCATTCTTCAAACTTTCTCTTTCTTGTAGGCAGCCCTCCTGCGACTGCAGATGTAAATGCTCAAAGGATTCCCTATTTCTTGTATTCTGAGAAGCAGGCTTAGAGAGGGTATGGGATGTAAAGGGACCACGTGGATCCACCAATCACTCGGCAGGCCATGCAGGGAGACTGGCAGGTGTACTCATTTCCTTTGGCTGTTTGTCCATACCGAAGTTAATACAATTAATCCTGATGATCCACAACAGAGATCAATATGCAGTCACTTCATTTTTAAGACAACTAAACAGAGTATGATGCGAAAGAATTATACCATTTTTCAAATGACAAAATCTGAAAAATCAAATACTGCTGAGACCCGGAGTGTTGATGCTTAGTCAGCCTCACAGGAGAAAGTGTGCCCCAGCCTGAGAAGTGGGCCATTCACTGCGGCACTGCTCCTTCTCACAGATCCACAGCTGACTTACCCCTAGGACTTTGGGTTCCCCCCTCAAGAACTTCTCCGCCAGCCCTTTCCATAGGTATGAGTGCAGAGCTGCAGGCTGCCCCCCTTGCGGTACCCCAAAGCCAGCCTCCAAGGTGGTCTGTCCCAGGCTTTGCATGGCTATCATGGCAGCAGGAATGTTCTGGAATACAAAACATAATTTAGGATGAGGCCGTGAAACTGGTCATGTAAGTACATGACAAATCTGGACTGACTTTCAGATGTTACAATACACAAGGGTATAAGAAAACAACACATTAATGGGTTGGAAGGAAAGACAGAGAGAGAGAGACTATCATGTGATATTAAGATGATGAATGTGTGGAAGCAGGAAATGTGGCTAGAATTATGGTAAATACACTGAGAATTAGAGAAACTTCTGTCCATTCATGTCACAGGTCTTCTCACATTGAGCTCCAGTGATATTACTGCCTATTGCCTAGATCATAGCCATTTTCCCATTGAAGGAATCATGTCAAGGTGATTGAACACAATCAGAGACCTTTGTTTTGGTCTTATCCCTAATCCACACTGTCTAATATAGTTTTAGGTACACAATCACTATGATCTTTATCATTTAATGAAATGCATAATTTGATCATTTAGTAGCTTGCTAGTGAAAAAAGATGTACTTTTCATTTCAAATATTGGAAAACAAGTTAAAGATAGAGTTTTCTTCAAAATGCATCTTTCAAAATTTAATACAGTTTAAAGGGCAGACACATAGCTGAGACTATTTCAGAGCCCCACAAGTCTTTACTAAGATAAAACAGCAAGTGCTAAAGGCAGAATGGACACGCCAAGTGGCCAGATTTCTGCACGAGAAACCCAACAATTACCTCTGCTGTACACACGGGCAATCTGGCACTTCATCATCACCTTCTTACCTGCCATCTGTGCCAAGTAAGTCACCAACTTCTGTTATCATACGACTATATTTCTCCTACTTTATCAAAACAAGTCTTCATCCTACTTAAAGCCTCCTAGACCCAATCCAGTAGACGGAAAGACATAATTAAAATTAAGTCAGAATTAAATGAGTTAGAATCCAAAAAAAACATAGAAAGAATCAACAAAACAAAGAGTTGGTTCTTTGAAAAAATTAACAAAATTGACAGACCCTTAGCAAATCTTATCAGAAAAAGAAGAGAACACACCCAAATAAATAAACTCAGAGATGAGAATGGAAACATTACCACAGAAACAACCAAGATTCAGAACATTATAAGAGAATACTTCTCAAACATTTATGCTAGTAAGTTTGAGAACTTGGCGGAAATGGACCTTTTCCTAGCAAATATTGACATGCCGAAACTAAACCAAGATGCGTTAAACCATCTTAACAGGCCTATATCAAGCATTGAAATAGAAACAGCAATAAGAGACCTCCCATCTAAGAAAAGCCCAGGACCAGATGGATTTACAGCAGAATTCTACAAGGCCTTCAAAACAGAGCTTTGAAGAACAGAGCTCTTCAATGAAATTGAGAGAGAAAGTTCACTATCGAACTCATTCTATGGAAAGTAGTATGGCGGTTCCTCAAAAGACTCCACATAGAGCTCTCCTATGACCCAGCAATCTCACGTCTGGGCATTTACTCAAATGATCACAAAAAGCCCATACTAAAGCTACCAGCACAACTATGTTTATTGCAGCATTATTTACCATGGCTAAGATATGGAACCAACCCAGATGCCCCTCAGTAGATGAACAGATCAAGAAAATGTGGTATATATACACAATGGAATTCTATGCCTCCATCAGAAAGAATGACATTGTCCCATTTGTTAGGAAATGGAAAGACTTGGAAAAAATTATATGAAATGAAGTAAGCCAGGCCCAAAGAAACATTGGTCCCATGATTTCCCTTATTTGCAATAACTAATATATGTCTGAGACAAGCAGAAATGAACCCCAAGATAAGGACTCAAATGGTTTTTCTTTCTTGCTATTGTTTCTAACATATTTATAAGATATTTCTTTTTTGCTTTATATGTCCCTCCCCCACAGTATAACCCTTGTTCTCACTGTATTTGGTGTAGGTATAATTTGTGGAGGGGAAGGTGGACCCATTGCAACAATGAGATGTACAAGACATTATGTCGAAAACCAACTTTAACCTTGCCCATGTAATTGTAACCCCTCAGTACAGTATTTTCACAATTAAAAAAAAGAATTAAGGCAGAAAAATGTCATGTTCACTAATTGAATGATATTAATTCTTGAGATTTAACAATTGGAACTAAATATTTTAAGTATATATTGATTTTAAAAATGAACAACATAGCTGGGCACCAGACGCTCACACCTGTAATCCTAGCTAGTTAAGAGGCTGAGGTCTGAGGTCTGAGGATTGTGGTGCAAAGCCAGCTGCGGCAGGAAAATCTGAGAGATTCTTATCTCCAATAAACCACTCAGAAAACCAGAAGTGGCCCTATGGCTCAAGTGGTAGAGCACTAGCCTTGAGCTGAAGAGCTCAGGGACAGCACCCAGGCCCAGAATTCAAGGCCCGTAACCGACAAAAAACAAAATAAAATAACATAATAAACCAGAACATTCAATAATCAAAGAAGATAGTGCGGTTCATTTTAATAAAGAATTTAAGCCTAAGTGATGGGAAGGGGAAACAAAGGAGGAGGCTACAATGCTTGATAAGAAATGTACTCATTATCTTGCCCATGTAATTGTAACCCCTCTGTACAATATTTTCACAATAAAAAAAAAAGAATTTAAGCCTTTCATTCTGACCATAAGTTGCAAAAATACTATGCTTCAGGTGAATGCTTTTCTTAAGGTTATCCTAAATAAAATCTCATTCATTGAAGTGACTGCAATTAATTTAATTTATGAATAAATGTAAACACTTTGACTAAAAAAAAAGAAAAACAAACTTTACAACTTTGGCTCGGGGGGAGGGGAGGAGAAACAAAGGAGGAGGCAACAATGCTTGATGATAAATGTACTCATTACCTTGCCCATGTAATTGTAACCCCTCTGTATGGTATTTTCACAATAAAAATAAATAAATAAAGCCTCCTAGACCTTAATAATGTCTGATGAACTCCACACGCATACCTACTGGACCAAGTTATCATATCGCAATGTGCAATTAGCCCCTCTGTGAAATACTTCTTGTGTAGTCCACTGTAGAGTTAAAGGCCCAATGCCTATGTGCATCTGATCATATGAAATAATATGCACCAAAATGAACTCCAGGAAATGGAAATGAGGGTTTTTTTTGCCTTTGTTGCTCTTTTTTTGTCTTCTTTTCCTTATGTCTTGTTTGCTTATTTATCTGTCTTTGGGAAGGTAAGGGGGAAAACAGAAATGGAGGGACAAAGAGTGAATGAATGCAGCAGTGGTACTCACTGGACACTATGTTGAAAATTAAATATACAACATGGGGGTGGGGATGGGAGGGAAAAACTGGGAGAGGGTGAGGGAAGGGGTGACATTGTCCAAAAAGAAATGTACTTAATACCTGACTTATGTAACTGCAGTCCCTCTGTATATCACCTTTATATTATATATATTATATTATATTATATTATATAACAATTAAAAATGCAAAAAAAAAATAAATTTAAAGCAAAATAGAAAAAAGTTACCCATTTTAAAATTGCTCCAAGAAACTTTGCTATTTGGGTTCATGTCTATTATCCTAAACTTCTCTTGGACCTTTGGGTTTTGTTGTTGGGGTTTTTTTTTACTTAGTTTAGTTCTTATAGGAGTCTCCACACACGGTATCTACTTACAGGAGTTTCCCACCACTTACACAACAATCACAAATAAAACCCACCCAGTATCTGATCTTCCCACACAGTGACAGCCTCATATAGTCCCTGTCTTCTCTCAGATCAACTTCGCACTGCACCAGGTTTGTTAAACCTGTGATAGTAAGGATGGGTTTAAGAAATCTCATTTCTCCTCTTACACCATAAAAACCAAAGGTGGTGTAAAGACGATTTTTTTTTCTACACCAGTTGAATGTGTGCTCTAGTGCATTCTCTTTGAAGCAAAGAACTCACTAACTTGATCCCCTCAGGCACTGATTTAGGAAGTGCAGGTTTTATCTACTGGTCTCCCCTAGTGATTCATCTTCTATATTCAGTGCTTCAATGGTAAGACTGTAAGCTTCCTCACAACCAAGAAACTGCACTAAAGAACTGCGTCAGTGAGTCCTGGGATCATTTGATAAATCTCTGGAGGTTTATGGAATAGGTCAGGCAGACCCACAAGCTGATGCTACATCCTCTTAAGAAATCCTGTCAAGTTATATAGCTGCCCTTTGACTTCATGTCATAGAAATCCTTGTTTTTATTACACAAGCCAAGTAAATTGCCCAGAGATATGAAAGCATGCTTGTTGTCTTGGACTAAAAAGCAACTTTCAAATGATAAGAAAAGCAAATTTGCAGAAAATATTGCTGTACAGACATAAGGAACATTTTCTTTTTTGGGTTAGGAGATAATCTGAAACTTTTGCCAGATTGTGACATCACAAGAAGATTACAAAGTATAGCTCTTGGAAGCGAGCTGAAGAAACTGAGGAAGCCCTTCCTTCTTATTTTATTGGCCCCAAAGTCCTGTGAAGCAACGGCAAGCTTAAATATCTTCCATGTTATACCAACATCCCCTTCTTGCATTACAATCACCCAGGGGATGCATGGAGATCATAGTCTGAGGCTGGACATAAGTGGCTCAAGCCTGTAATCCTAGCTACTCAAGAGGCTGATATATGAAAGAAGATCATAGTTTGAGGCCAACCCTGGCAGAAAAGTCTACTGAGCTCCTCTCTAAAATAACCAACAAAAAGCAGGACTGGAGGTATTGCTCAAGCATTAGAGCACCAGAAGAACAAGCAAGCCAATCAAGTGGAAGGCCTTGAGTTCAAACTAGTACTAGAGGAAAAGGCAGGGGAAGGAAGATGGAGAGAAAGGAGTGGGTAAGCTATGAGGGGCCAGCTTTTTCTTCGACAAATCTATAAAGTGAATGTGCATGGTTGATAGTGGATGATGGTGGCCATGTGGGCAGAAAACAGCCTAGACTAGAATCTAGTATTCCTGGGGTTTACCGTCAGCATGTGAGCTTCTGTTTATTTTCTTTTTGCAGGTTTACTTTGTCTCATCTGAGAAAGAGGACAATTTCCTCCAATCTGTGTGTGTGTGTGTGTGTGTGTGTGTGTGTGTGTGTGTGTGTGTGCACATGGACGCTCTGCTACCAGAGCCTTGCACTCCCTCAGTTTTTTTTACCTCATTGTGGTGTTCTGTCATTTGACCCATACCTCTTATTCAGCGTTTCTTCGGGTTAATAGCAGAGGGAGTTTGATAGTCTTCTCTGTCATGGCTGGCTTTGAATACCAATCCTCAGATCTCAGTCTCAGCTAAGATTACAGGTGTGAACACCAGAACTAGGCTACAAGCTTTTTTCTTATTGCCACCATGGTAAATATATACAGAGTGGATTCCATTAGTAGCCTTTCTCGTGAGCACTTCAGTTTGTGGCTTGATTGACATATGAATGGTACCAGTCATGACTGGACAAGTCAGCCCACAGTTTATGTCGGGATCAGTGCTGTACAGTGGGGACCCTGCCTTCGCCCTGCACCATCTCCCCCCAAGTCCTACATGAGGTAGAGTTTTCCTTAACTGCTGAGCTATAAAAACAACACATTGGACAGAGAATAGAGACTGTGGAAGAAAGAACACTGAGAGTGCATGAAATCGCCAGGTACAATGACTCAGATCTGTAGTCCCAGCTACTTGGGAAGTAGAGATGGGAAGAATGGCCGTTTGAGGTCATACAGGGCATAAAGCTTGAAAGACGTCATCTCAACCAGTAAGAATTTCTGGGAAACGGCGTGTGGTGGTACATGCATGTCATTGCAGTTGTGTAGGAAGGAGGCTGTGGGTAAGAGGATTACAGACTGAGGTGGGCCCCAAATACAACCATGAAGCCCATTCTGAAAAATTAAGAGGAAAAAAAAAGGGGGGGGGGAATGTAGGCTCAGGTAGTATACTGCCTTCCTATCAAAGCACAAAACCACAAGTTTAAGTCCAGTACTGAAAAAAAAAAAAAAAGACCTGTGAAATGATGTCATAAACTGAAGTATTTCACAGAAGTTTTCTGTACTGGGGAGCTGGAGAGCTAAAATAACTAAAGCGTGAATGGAAGCACTGGCATTTAGGAAGTCTTCTGCCTTCCCTTGCTTCCATCCTCTGAAGCAAGTTTTCCCCAGAGCCCCCCTTAAAGGTACACTCAACCTACCTCAATCCAGAATACCAAAAACCACCCTCCATCTTTTTCTCATTGTCTTCCCTGGGGTTCTAGAAACTGCAAATATAAAACCATCCACCCCAAATCGCAAACCAGATCCTAAACCTACCTTTCTCCAGCCTGCAATGGCTGCTGTTGGTCCAGTGAGGAAAGAACCCGGATGAGGCTCTGAGCAGTTCTGAACCTCAGTGGCTTTGTTCAGATGCAAATGACCTCCCCTCCCACCCACCCCCTCCCTTCACCCCTCACTGGGCTTCAATCTGCATCATCCTAGCACTTTTCAGGATCATACAGGTTGCACTGAAATTTTCTGTAAAATACCACTACTACTTCCTCTTTTTATGTCCTTAGTGCCCACTGATTTGGGTGTGGTAAATGTTAGGAAATTTGCCAAACTGCTAGCAATGGCCACCTCATAGCCTTCCATAGTCAGTGGTTACTACCTTGTACCAGACTCCATTCAGAAGTCTTAACGCAGAGATTACTTAAAGGCCTTTGAAGCCCCTGTTTCAGAATTTCACATATTTCCATGTCACCTTTGAGAGTTTTTAATATGGAAATGACATATTCTCCTAACTAGAAGCAAAGGGACATTCGCTTTGATCTTCACCCTGAAGCCTAATAGCAGTCTTGGAGGTGAAATGCATAAAAGTTTGGGGATCCCTACCCCAAGACTGGGTCCACATAGCGCTTCAACCCCAAATCCAATATAAGTATTCCTGATGGACTTTTGCCCTGTTTGGATCTGATTTTGCCTGTTTCTCCACATTTAGAAACAGTGTTTAGCCCTGTGACCTCAATTCTCTAAAGACACCAGAAGGATTTGTTGTTTTTTTTCATTTTTCATGAGAGCAGGAAAGACACGTTTCAAGCTTTATACGTGTCAAATTAGAAAGAACAACAAAAACTTACCATAAAAAATTTCTCAGTATCAGAGAATCTTTTTCTCATTCTTTCTCTCCTCCTCTCCTTTTTTTCTCCTCTCTCCTCTTTTCATTCTAGAATGGAAGAGAAGGAATGAGTAGGCACTAGGTCATCTCATCTATTTATACGTTAAATTTTCCTTATTTATCACCTGTGAGCCAAAGTTATATTTTTTTCAGTTGTTTGAAGAGATCTCTTGATATGAGAACCACGAAATATGGGCAGCACAATGGGAAAACCATCAGAGAAAATGACTCAGTATAACTTGGGACTTATGCTTGCTATCAGATCCTCAATCTCTCTCTCTCTTTCTCCCTGTCTCTGTCTCTCTCTCTCTCTCTCCTTTAAACAAATAGAAAGGAATAAGCAAACACTTCCTTGCCCATCATCTCTGTGAGCCGAAATTGTTAGCACAGCCATGCATATACATAGACCTGGACAGGAAAGAGACATGCCCTGTGCTACAAGATTCTATTCCTTTTGGAGGAAATAGAATCATAAAACCTAGATGATGCCGTTTTCATTTTCTTTCCTTTTTGTTCTGTTTGTTCATTTATCTACTTTTGGGGATGTTTAAGAGGGCACAGAAATGGAGGAGGAAAGGGTGAACAAATATGGTAATGGATTCATTAGACACCATGTTGAAAATGGGTGGGATGGGAGGGAAAACTAGGAGAGAATGAAAGAAGAGGTGACATTGTCCAAAAAGAAATGTACTGTTTACCTGACTTCCGTAACTGTAACAGCTCTGTACTTCAGCTATATAATAACAATAAAAAATTTCAAACCTGGATGCTCCACACCCTGGAGCAGTGCTTCCAGGTTCCTATGGAGCCCTACCAAGGCCAGGCATATGCCTTGAGGGTGTAATGACCACTCTAGGACTTTCCACTAAAGGCCCTAAACCAGCAATGGCAATGAGGATAGGTGTATGAAGTCCCACATCTGATTAGTCACTAGGCAGGTGTCAAACCATTTTGAGAGGGCTACTAGGGTAGGTATTAACTTCATACTCTGTCATGACCCCATTCTATGAGATAAAACTTCAAGTCTCACCGGCTTTTTTGTTTCTTAACCAGAACTGCTGGCACACTTCTTGAGGCTTATTTCCACTTTGCTAATAAATTACTTCCTGGTATTTTCCTACTCTTGTGGTTCAACATCCCAATCTTAGATGTTGTGCCCAAAGAACCAAAAAGCACGAAGGACACTTAACAATTGCCTTCCATTGTTTGAAGAAGGGAGTGGTGTATGTGGTATAAAGAAAAGACACCAATGTGAGTCCGAAGATGTAAGCTTCTGACTTAATTTGGTCACTGGCCAAATGTGTGATTCTGTGTGATTCTGGCAATTCTCCTCTATTCCCTTGTAAATGGGGCAAGAAAGAAAATCACCCAAAACTGTTTGGAGGATTTGAATCCAGAAGGAAAGAAAGGGCAAGGCGTTTCTTCTCCAACTTCTCCTTGCATTAACATAAGTGACCTCTTCCACAATGACACCATGAGGCAGCTTTTCTTCCAAGATTCCTGCTCCTGCTGGACTATGAAAACACTATGCCTTCTTTTAACCCTAGAGGTGCTAACAGATTCCTGCTATGCCTCTTCTCCGATGCCTCCCAACCCCTTTTGTCTTCCCCACATTGTGCCCAGTCTCGGTACGGTCTTCATTGAAGCTCATTAAAATGAATCA